CACACACACACACACACACACACACAATAAATGTTAAAATAAAATAAAAAAAAGAACTTTTTAAAAAAGGCCAGTGATATAGCTCAGCAGCATAAGTGCCTGCCTGGCAAGCACAAGGTCCTGAGTTCAATCCCTGGTACAGAAAAAAAAAAAACCCAAACACAACCAAACAACAACAACAAAAAACCTTTCTTCTTTCTTTCTCTCTTTCTCTCTTTCTTCTTTCTTTTTTTCTTTCTTTCTTTCTTTCTTTCTTTCTTTCTTTCTTTCTTTCTTTCTTCTTTCTGACAGGGTCTTGCTTTATAGCTCAGGCTGGCCTTGAACTTACTGTGACCCTCTTGTTTCAGCCTCCCTAGTGCTGGGATTATAGGTGTTCACCACCACATCCAGCTGAGAATTCCAATTTTATTTTACTTTTTTTAAATTTTATTTATTTTTAGTGTGTGTGTGGCCAGCTCAGCCCACCAGGGGGCAGGGCTGGCTGGCACGTGGTGCTGGGGGATTGAACCGCGGTCCCTGTGCTTTGCTTAGCTTAACTTGTTCTAAGTAGGTGCTTTAGACCACTAAGCCATCTCACCAGCCCCAGAGAATTCCAATTTTATCATTCCCTTCTATATTGCTTTTAACAGAGTTTACACTACATTTCTGTTTAACACTTGCCCTGTCCCTGATGTGCACCTGACCAAGGGCTCCCCCTGGGGCTAGTTTGTGCATCTCAGTGAGATTTTGGGGGGAGGAGCACAGTGGACACGCCTCTGCCAGTGAGGAAACAAATCACGAATTATTTTCAGCAACTCAGTGCCGTACGAATCCTGCCCACCTCACAATTCCTTGGCTGGAGATAGTTGATGCCAGGCACTTCTCAGCTCTGCCAAAGATAGCAGCTCTTCGAGAGATGCTCGTGGTTTCAGATGTGGGCGGTGGTGGCAGCCTGCCCTGAGGCTCACGTCACTGCCTGCTGCAGTTATCTTTCTGATCTAGGCAAGGGGCTTGGCTGTGCTCTGTGGGACAGTCAGTAGTAACAAGTCACCTCCAGACTTGCGATGGCACTGGGCAGATCCATCTGGGAAGGTGAGTATGTTCAAGGCTGCCTGACTTTGCAAGTCAGTGCAAACTTCAGGAGGCAGAGAGGGACATGTGGCTCCCATCCCTGGTCCAGTACAAATGTGTTTAGGACACTGCTGTAGTTTTACTAGTGTCTTGGCCTTGGGCTTTTTATCAGACTTTGCAGGCTAGACTGTTAGAATTATAAATTAATTTCCAACGTGGCCATGCTGAACTGGACAGAAAGAAGGGCAGAGTTTGTCAGTCAGTATTTCTAATTATGGAAGAAACTGCTTCCTCAATGACTTTGTGGGGATGAGGGTTAGATGGGCCTTGTTGAGCCAGATTGGCTCAGCTGTGACAGCTGTGGGCGGAGCAGAGGCCCCAAAGTTGACCAATCCTCTCCCTGCCACCAGAGCTTTGGGGAATTCGGGGAAGAAGAGCTGGAAAGCAGTGGGCAGGGGTGGGATTCCAGGAGGTCATTGAAGCCAAGCAGGGAAAGGAGAGGAAAGAATTCTTTGGTGGTGGTGTGTGTGTGGGGGGAAGTAACACTCCCTGCATTGCCCAGGGCTCTGGGCTACTTTGTTCTCAAAGGGGCTTGAGAGGAGCTGGCTGGGACTCTCCCCTTTGGGCCCTATTTGTTCTTTCTGCCCTTCTGGGCTCACTCTACCGTCAGAGCTTGGCCTTATGAGGTCAAATTTCGGAATCTTGCCAGTATGACCTCAAGTTATGTCCTGGAGCCCCTTGACACACCTGAATCTGGTGTCAAGGGTGGCCTCTGAGGGGGGCGGGAAGGGATTTGTTAAGGAATTGGGTGAGTCCAGGAAATGCAAGTTCTTACCCTTGAGGAGCCAGATTGGGTCCACAAGGCAGTGAGCTTTGCCCGTAGTAGGCTGGTGAGGAGAGTGCTGGTTAGAGAAGGTGCCTCCTTGCCAAGGCAGGAGGAGCAGATGGGTATCCTTTCCCTCAGACCCCTGCAGAGAACAGTGTCACCAGCTACTCTAGCCTTGGCTGCAACCACTCCCCTCTGTCCTGTCAGCTGAGGTGCTATGCAGACAAAGCTGGCTCTGCCTGGCTCCTGCTGTCCCATTTGACTGGGGAGGTAGAATGGGCACTGTGGAGAGCTTTAGGGCAGGGACCCAATGGGAAGGGCACCAGGCAGAGGGGACAGAGTGAAAGATAGTTAGAAGGCCACTTGTGCTCAGGCCTGTGAAGGGGGCCTCTGGGCAGCCTCCACACTTTTCTGAATGGCTGGACTTCATCCTTGTCCATTTCTGTGCCCTGGGTTTGTGCTCTTGTTCATCCAACACCTCTGAACCCAACCCTCTGACATCAGACATGTCCCCCAGGTGTCTCTCCACCCCCCTGAAAGTGTGTGGGCAGGTCATCCTAGGAGCTCCCCATACCCATCTTACCTGGCCTCACCCAGCTAGCCTGCCCGCCACATACCGCTGCTCTTCATCTGTACCCCCAAGAGCACCACCACAGAAAGTAGTCCTCATGCACCCTGTGGCCAACCCAACTATGGGTTCCTGGGCTGTCAGAGAAGGCTCCAGGGCCTGTATGGCCTAAACGGGGAAAAGCTCTTGCTCCCAGTTCCTAACACAACTTTCCTGTGCTCCAGCTCTGGCCTCTTGTGGGGAGTTAAGGTCTGCATCCCACCTCCAGCTGAGAGAAGACAGTGCTGGAGAAAAGTTCACTTAAATAGTAACCTCCCTGCCTCTGCCTCCATGTGTCCAGCTTCATGGGTTGCTGGGAGAACAAGTCTCACTTCCCCCTCTTAAGATACAGAGCAGGGCTGGGGTCCTGCTGAGTATAGAATACTCGCCTTACATGCATGAGGCCCTGAGTTCATCCTCAGAACCACACATACACAGAGAACATATGTATGATAATAAGTGTGACAGTAACTGGTCCCAAGTGTGCTGCAAGGCAGCAAGGGCACAGTCACCTGGCTGGCTCTCATCATGCTCTGCTCTGGCCTAGGATAAGTACTGAGACCTGAGAGTCAGGAAGGGGAAGGGCCAGAATTATATAGAGACCATTTTCTGGGTCTGGCCCAGCCTGTGGCCAAATGCAGGGATCCAGCTGCAATTCAACCTACAACTCCATAGAGGTCCGGGAAATGGGCAAGCAGCCCATCTGAGCTAGATCAGGACCCTGAGACCACAGAGGAGGTGAGGGCTGAGGGCTGAGTCCTTTCCCTTCTGGTGGGGAGGGCACTGCTGGTTAGATGTGTCATCCAGGGTTGACAGAACCGGAGTATCAAGGAGCAGCCCTGCCAACAATGGCAGACACTGGCTTCCTCTCCAGCTCTCACGCTATCCTGTGGTTTGGTATCTGATCTGTGGCCAGGCCTCTCTGGGCTCATCCCAGACCTCTCCCAGGACCAAGGAGTGTGCAGGTTTGCCATGTGCACTTGCTCTGACTGCCTGGCCCTTGGTCAAGGACAGTGGGCCTAGGTTTAGTAATGTCCTGTCCTGTGCCCGAGCAGCCTGAAGGAGAGAGAGAGGTCTGTGATGTCCTGCAGAATCCATGTGGCTTTCATTCTGCATGAGGCTTCACCCTACTTGTTGAGCACTTGTTCTGTCTTCTGTGGAGTGTGTACTGGTGGGAGTCATATCTTGCTCTAGAGAAGCTCACAGGCTGGCTGTTAGACGTCTGCCAAGCAAAGCAGTTCTAGGTGCAACGTACTGGGCAAATCATCTCTCTGAGCCTCACTTCCTTCACTAGTAGGCGAGTGGTCACCCTACCTTACCTAGCTTGTCAGACGTAGATGAAAGTATTCTGCGAATGAAAGGACAGGCCCTGTCCCTCAGGTTGGCCATGTTGCTGCTGATTGTGCTCTGCAGGTTGTCTCCTGTCCCACAGCCCCCTGCACCTGTTTAGAAAAAGAATCTTCTAAGCTGGAAGCCACCATACTCCCTGCTCTCAGCCATCTGCCTTGGGTTAGGGTGGGCCAGTTCTGTACTTTTATGGATCATCTGGGTACCTTTCCAGCTGGCGTAAGGGTTGTCCATTGGGTATGGGTCAGCTTGGAACTGAGGTTCCTCCAGGTCCTGGGCACACTGCTTTTTCACACTTCAAATGGGCTGATGTCCCATCCATGCCTTGCCAGTATCCTGCAGGAGGGAACAGACAGTGCTGTGGAGAACTATTATTTCATGTTGGTGGTGGTGCAGTGGGACCACATACTTCTTGCAGGAGAGGATGTAGATGCACAGATAGGCTGCTGGGGACTGTTGGGGTGGGTGTCGTGTCTGTTGAGGGTGTGTAGCTCCTAGAGGGTGAGTATGCTGTGGTCTGTGTGCTTGTCTGCTTCCTTTTCTCATCTTTATCATTGATCAGTCTTGTATAACCAGGCTGGTCCTGCTTCCTGCTTAAGGGCTATCTGTGAACCATCTGTAGCTACAAATGGGGTGACAGGTCCTCAGAAACCTCCCCACTATCAGGCACTTCCTGATACCCATCTGACTCTCCCAGGTATCCCAGGGCCTTGCCATTCTCAGTGCACCTGTTTTTTTGTTTTTTGTTTTTTTTTTTTTTTTGTACTGGGAATTGAACTCAGGACCTTGCACTTGCCAGGTAGGCATTTATGCTGCTGACCTGTCTCCCTGGCTCATCTTAGTGCACCTAGGACAGGCAGTTTAGGCAGTGTCATCTGTTGCATGGATACCTGCTGCCATCCTCATCTGTGTTCTGGGGCAGAATCTGGTGCATGTCTTTAAGGCAGAGAAAGAAAATGTGGATGCATAGAGGTTGGCTGTGTGACCTCAGGCAGGTTGCCTCCCCTTCTTGGGACTCTGTTTCCTTCTTATGAACAGGGGTAGCTCTTTGCATGGCTGTTCTCAGAACTAAAATAGCATGGGATACATCGCCAATGAGCTTGGTGAATCTTCCTGTGACTGTTGGTAGTAACCGGTTAACCCAACCCTGACTGCCCTGTGTCTCAACCTGGACCTGGGGGTAGGGGGATGGGCTTAAAGAGGCTTTGGGTCTCAGAAAGGGGCCTTCTAGTCAGATGTGAAGGCATAGCCTGAGAGTCCAGGATCCAGGAGATCTGAGCCTGAGCCAGGAGTCTTTGGTCAGGTCAAGTGACCTTTTTGAACTTGAGCTTATGGTCAGTGAAGTATGGACAGAGGTGCTCAGTGTCTTTCAAGAGACATAGCCAGGGTATATGTGGTTGCCCTACTCAGAGCCTTTGTTGGGAAGGGTTTCATGGAGAACACCTTCCCAGAGGGTGTGCCTAACACAGGCCCCCTCAGTCCAGTCCCTTGCAGGTTGGACCTTGGAGAATGAGGCCTTGACTCGAGATGTGGGCACCTGGCTCCTGCTCTGGACCTGCATCTGCTGGGGAGTCTCTGTCCCAGAGGAAGGAGGAGGTGAGGGCTGGGCACTGGCATCTGTGTGAGATGGCTGGGTGGAGAGCTAGGGGCTGAGATGGGGGACAGCAGGGACCTCTCATCTAGGGGTCCTACCCACCCTTGCTTCCCACCCTTACCCTTCAGGGCAGTGATAATGAACCTTTTAGAGCTTTCAGTGACACAAGCAGCCCGCTGTGGCACACATTCCATAATGTGCCACCATGGGAACCCACCACCTCACAGGCCTCCCAGCCCTGCCCTTGAAAATTCTCCTGGGGTCATTCTCTGGAGACTGCCTTGTGTTTTTTTTTTTTTTTTTGCGGAACTGGGGATTGCACTCAGATTCTTGCGTTTGCCAGTCAAGTGCTTATCCTACTGAGCCATCTCCCCGGCTCCTGGAGACTGCCTTGTTAGGGTTATGCTGCAGGTCTTCCCCCACCCCAAATCGGCTGGGCCCTGAGCCATCCACTATGGTCATCATCCCCAGGGACAAGGGCTGAAACTTTTACTTGCCTCACCAACTACATCCTCAGGATTGATTGCTACTGGTCTGCCCTAGAGCTGGGCCAGGGCTGTGGGCCCTGGCTCCTCTTCACCAGGTAAGGTGGGGGGTCAGGCCTGCCTGGGGAGAGGTTGTGGTCTCTGTAGGGGGCAGCAATACATCCCTTGGTGCTGATACATGACCTTTCCAGCAACCAGGTACCTGGCAGCAAGCACAAGTGCATCTTCCAGGGTAGTAGGTGTACTGTGGTGCTGCCGCCTGAGGAGGTGCTCCTGCCTTCTGACAACTTCAGCATCACTCTCCACCACTGTGTCTCTGGGATGGAGCAGGTCAGCCTCGTGGACCCAGAGTACCTGCCCCGGAAACATGGTGAGCAGGGGGCCTTGCCAGGAGCAGGCTTGGTGCTTAGGGGTTGGGGCCAGAAACCTCAGCCTGTGACCCATGTCGTCCCAAGCAGACTGGATCCCTGCGGGGGAAGGGCCTGCACACTATAACAGGGTCTGGGTTAGGGCTACAGTTTGGTTCCAGTCACTAGAAATGCTCTGCAGTCATAGCAGGAAGAATTCTAGCAAGACACTGGGAAGAACTTTTTTTAAAAAATGTATTTGGTACAGGGTCTCACTATGAAGCTCGGACTCATAGTGATCCTCCTATTTGCAGCTTCCCCAGCACTGGGATTACAGGTGTGCACCACCATACTGGAATTGGTTGGCCGGCTCACCTGGGGGTGGGGACAGCACGGCCTGCAGTGCTGGGGATCTAATCCTCCTTCCCGTGCTTGCCTAAGCAGGCTATTAGTCTGCTGAGCTATCTTGCCGCCCTGACACTGGGAAGAACTTTCAACCATAGTCTGGGAAGGGAAGGAAAGCCAAGGTTGGGAATACTACTTTGCTTCATGGGCTAGATGTCATTGCTATCCTGTTCTCCCAATCTTCTTCCACTGAGGCCCTGGTCCGAAAAGGCCTCGACCAGGCCCTGTGGGAATCTTTTAGAGCCTCAGTTCTGGGCCAGAGCATGGGGCTGCAGCCTCACACAGCCTCACTGTGTTTCAGTTAAGCTGGACCCTCCCTCTGACTTGCAGAGCAACACCAGCTCTGGCTCCTGTGTCCTGACCTGGAGTATCAGTCCTGCCCTGGAGCCAATGGCAGCACTTCTCAGCTACGAGCTGGCCTTCAAGAGGGAGGAAGAGACCTGGGAGGTAACCTTTAGTTGGCTTCCCTGGGGCTTTCTTTCCCTGGGAGCAGCTAGAGTGAATGGTGAGGAGGGGTGGGAACCACAGCCAAGTATGTGTGTGTGTGTGTGTGTGTGTGTGTGTGTGCGTGTGTGTGTGCACGTGCATGTGCGCGTGTATGGTTTCATTATTTGCATATATATGTGCATGCATTTATGAGTGTGTCTGTCCCTTGTGTTTATGTGTGTGTGCACTGGCTATGTCCACTTGTGACTTCAGTGAATGAGTGGTGAACCTGGGTACCTATCTGTGCACATGATTGTGTGTGCAAGTGTGAAAATGTGGCTTAGATGTGTGAGAAGGATTATCTATATGAGCACTGGTACACCTGTGTGTGTGTGTGTGTGTGTGTGTGTGTGTGCGTGTGTGTGTGTGTGTGTGTACATGAGCAGGCCTGTTTGTGTACATGTATACATTCTCAAAAGTAGATGAACCCAGCTGCACTTGTTTGCTAATGGCCCTCCACTCCACAGCGGGCCCAGCACAAGGACCACATAGTTGGGGTGACCTGGTTTACCCTTGAAGCCATTGAGTTGGACCCTGGCTGCACCTATGAAGCCAGGCTACGTGTCCAGATGGCCACTCTGGAAGGGCTCATGTCAGAGGAGGAGCGCCATGAGGGCCAGTGGAGCAACTGGAGCCAGCCTGTGTGCTTCTCCTCTCCTCGAGGTGGGTGTTGTGTGGTGGCTGTTCTTTTACAGCCTGGGCCAAGCCTTCTCTCCTCTGTCCCTCCCTCTCCTCCCACCTGTAGCCCTCTTGAAGCCCCCTCCCCTGGAGATTGGGATGTGGAAAAGGGAGGCATACATCAGGTCCGGGAAGCTGTGTTTAGTGGCTGTCCTAAGGAGAGAGCGTGGTTTGGGATTGCTCTCCAGGCTGGTGCTTCTGTCTGGAGCTGGACAGGACCTTGGTCTCCTTAGGGAAGGATGGGCTGACTTGTGCAGAGTGGTGCGGGGAAGCTTCACAGTCCTGCCCATTGGCCCTATGGCAGAGGGAGAGAGTGAGACCCAGAGTGAGGTTCACCTGGGGGACTTCAGCAGGCATGACATAGGTCTTCAAGGGCCATCCTTTCTACTTTAGGGCATTAATGGGTGGCTTAGGGGATACAACCTGACACTAATGCTGCTCATAGCCCTGCCTACCAGCCTCTTAATTTCATCAGAGAGATGGCCAGAGGCCATCCTTGTTGCGGTGACCATCTTTCTTCTGCTGACTGGCCTGACCTACCTCCTGTTCAAACTGTCACTCAGGTAGGTGGCCAATGCATGTGTGTGTACACATGAATGTACTAGTGTGTCTGTATGTTAGAGTACATGAGGTATGTGCCAGCATGTACTCTGATAACCATATATGTATGAGTACATGTGTATGTGAGGTGTGTTTCCACTAATGTGCATGCATCCGTTAATGTGCATGTGAGATGTTATGTGTTAGCGTGTGCATTTTTAGTGTATATGATTGTATGCATGAGTATGTATATGTGAAGTACATGTGAGTGTACATGTGAAGTGCATGTGTGAATGTGTACCCCTTTTAGTTTGAGTGACTGTATGAAAATGTGCATGTGTGTTGGTGTTAACGTGTGCATAAGTTAGTATATGTGAATGTGCATGAGTATGCTATCTAATGGCTCTAGCTAATGATTCCAGGACTATATGGTTCTCTCTCTTGTCTAATGGCTCTGCATGAGTATCTTAGTATATTCATCTGTTAGTATGTGTGTGCCTGTAAGGTATGTGGGTGTGTTAATGTGCATTTATTAGTGCACGTGAACATGTGCATGTGAGTACATGCATATGTAAGATGCCTGTGTGAGTGCACTAGTGTGTACCCCTTAGTGTGTGCATCTGAGGTCTGAGGATAATCCGTAAGGTAGAAACCTGAGAGATTAGGCCTGGGGAGGCTTGGGAGGTTGATTTGGCTCTGCTGGGTTGGAGACCTACCCTCCTCATGGAGGACCAGTAGGTCTTGGGCAGGAGGTCTGGTGTTCAGGGAGATGTTGAGGGGGGTAGGGAGCCCCGGGATGCCTGCTGATACCACAAATGAGGCTCTTGGAGCTGAGGGCTCCCCCTGTGGGTTAAGAATCTTGCTGTAGGGCAGGCATGGTGGTGCATGCCTGCAATTCTAGCACGCAGGAAGCTGAGGCAGAAGGATTGTCTCGAGTTCGAGGCTAGCCTGAGCTACATAGTGAGTTCAAGGCCATCCTGAACTACATGGTAAGACTCTCTCTGTCTTAGACAACAACAAAACAATAAACCAAGCAATGCAGCAAACAAGCAAGAGCCTGGCTGCTCACTTCCAGCTGTGAACCTGCTGTTGCAGCTTGCCCTGTGAAGGACATGTGCCTTGGTGCACATCAGGTCTATGGGCATTAGCCAGAGAGGCCATAGCCGCCAAATTGCATCCTTCCCAGATGGCAGACCTGTCTGTTTTTTAAAGTGAAATGGGGTCTTGCTGTGTTGTCCAGGCTTGTATCAAACTCCTAGATTTAAGCAAGGCATAGGGGCCCGTACCTATAATCTCAGCACTCAGGCTGAGGTAAGGTTTCAAGTTTGAGCTCAGCCTGGGGCAATTTAGTAACTTAGGGAGACCCTGTCTCAAATGAAAAAAAGAGCTAAGGATGTAGCTTGTTGTGAACATTCTAGATTTAGCCCCTAGGGCCAGGGAGGTAGCTCAGTGGAATAAGTACTTGCCTGGCAAGTGCAAGGTCCTGAGTTTGATCCCTGGTACCACAAAAAAAGAAAGAAAGAAAAAAAAGATTCAACCCCTAGTAACACACACACACACACACACACACACACACACACACACACACACACCAAAAAACCCCAACAAGCTCTTGGGCTCAAGTAATGCTCCTGTTTCAGCCTCCTGAGGAACTAGGACTACAGAAATGGGCTGCCATGGGGCTGGAGAGATGGCTCAGTGGTCTAAAGCACCTACTTGAAACAAGCTTGGCAAAGCACAGGGACCGCGGTTCAATCCCCCAGCACCACATGCCAGCCAGCCCCGCCCCCTGGTGGGCTGAGCTGGCCACACACACACACACAATAAATAAAAATGTAATAAAAAAAATGTAATAAATAAAAATAAATAAATAATTAAAAAAAAAAAAGAAATGGGCTGCCATGCCCAGCGCTCTGAGGGCAGGTTTAGATGCAGTGAGGGGGAGGTGGGGGGTCACATTCTGGATGCGGAGGGTGGGCACCTGCTCCTTAGACAAAAGCTCAGGTCCCTATGGAGATCTTAGGCCTTCTGGAGTGTGGTGTAGAGCGCTGGTCTGGGTCCCTACAGATTGTCCCTTCCTGGCCCCAGGGTGAAGAGATCCTTCTACCAGCATGTGCCCTCGCCAGCGGTGTTCTTTCGGCCCCTCTACACTGTGCATGGTGGGAACTTCCAGGTGTGTGGGGGTGCTACAGCTGTGTGGGGCAGGTGTAGAGGTCTAGTGAGCACAACATGTGGCTTGGATGGAGGTTGGGAAAAGCATGGGGCCTTTGTCAGTGCTCTGAACCTTCTTTGTTCATATAGTGGGTTTAAATTTACATACTGTGTCTCAAGTGGGCAGACAGTTTTATTTGTTTGTTTGTTTATTTATTTATTTATTTATTTAGTGGTACCGTGGATCAAACTCAGGACTTTGCACTTGCCAGGCAGGCACTTATGCTGCTGAGCTATCTCCCTGGTCTGCAAAGAGTTGTACTTTTTATTGCCGATACATTTTTGTTCTGTTCTTGATGGAAAAACTGAATTTTCCCACCACATCACTCTCCTGTGCTTTGCCACTGAAGGAAATTGTTGGCTCATGGGGCAGGCTGTGTGGCTCTCTGTCCCCACCACTGATTTGTCCCTCTTCCCCCTCCTCCAGACATGTTTCTGGGGAATGGTCTCTGTTGCTTACGTTGCCACTGGGCTCCTGGCAGGGCCTTAGAGTCCCCTGGAGGGCACTGTGGTCCACTTGTGGGGACCATGGTTCATGAGTAGACCCTATACTTCACCCTTTGTGGGCCTGTTTGGTTCTCACAGACCATAGGAATATATAAGCAACCTGGAGAGTCACACTGTGGTTTCTCGGGGTTCACAGTTTGCATGTGGGGGTGCCCATGGGTGGTCACTGTTTTTCCCTCTCAATGCTAAGCACTTCCCCTCAGGGTCTCCCTGAGTCTCTCTCTGCCCTGGGGGCAGGGACATCTTCATCCTGTGCAATTGATTATGTAAAAACAAGCAAAAAACCTTTTTGGAGTGTTGCCCCAAAATATAATTTCAAGTTTGAAACTAGGAACTTGGCAATTGACAAAGTCTACCACTTTCCGCAAGACAGTGGAGATGACTGTGAAGAGCCTGGGCAGCTGGGGACAAAGCTGAGTGGGGCAAGGATGGTGACCAGTCCCTGGGCTGTGTTGCCCTGCAGAATCCTGGTATCCTCGGGGCAGGGGGATCTGGCACTCAGATGGCACTCCAGTCCAGGGAGCAGATGAAGGGCGAGTGTGCCCACTGCATTTGATGGGGAGGCTCCTGGTTCTGTCCAGGCAACAGCTTGCTTTTGGAGGTCAGGGCCTCTCACAGTCCCACAGAAGGGTCCTGACTGCTTCCCCTGTGCTGTGTGTGTGGTGGGTTCATGTGGGGATCCCTAGTCTCTGTAGCTATTGAAAGGCCCTGGACACAGGCTATAAGGGTTTGCTGTGTCCTTAGCCCTTGCCACCATCTGTACTGTGGTTCAGTCTGCTGTGAGCCTGAGACTCTGGGAGGGAGCAGGGAGAGGCTGATGGGACCCAGAGTCCCTCCAAAGCCAGGCTGACACACTGGGAATTCGGAAAGTTCTGGGTGTGGGAGCTGGCTGTGGATGTCTGGAGGGCTTCCTGGAGAAGGAGGTGGCTATTCCAAGTAAGTCCTTCCCTCCTCCCTGTGCTCTGTTCCAGACCTGGGCAGGAACCCACAGAGCTGGTTCACAGCCCACCCAGGACTGGGACAGTACCCCACAAGGAGACTCCGAGCCCGGCGTGTGCGAGGCCATCACACTGCTCACATACAGCCCAGCATGGCTCTGGCACCCAGCATGGCCCTGGCAATCCTCAGGCCTGGAAGAGGAAGCAAACCCTGGCTCTGGCCTCCCAGGGTCCTTGAGCTCAGAGGATGTGGTGCCAGCACAGTGTGTGGAGTTGTGGGAACAGTCGACACCCTACCTGCCTCAGGAGGACTGGTCCCCCATGTCCTCCACCAGACCGGCTGCCCCAGACTTGGAGGATGGCAGCAGTGACTACTGTGTCCTGGATTGCTATGGGGGTTGCCACCCCTCAGTCCTCCCAGGACGTATGCAGAGTCCTGTGCCCATCCCAGCCTTGGCCTGTGGATTTTCCTATTTTCAACAGAATTTGGATGCCCAGCAGGGATGTGCCTATGAAGGACCTGGTCACAGTCAGGGTCACAGACTCCCTGAGGAGCACTAGGGTGTTTTGCTGCCTCCTATTCCAGACACGCCATGGACTCAGTCCTAGAAGTCTAGAACCCTGTCTCACCCAGAGGTATCATGTCCATTTGGGGAAAAATGGACTAAAATCCCTGTAGTGGACCCTTAGCTGGGAGCGGACCTCCTGAGAAGGGGACCAATGCAGTGGTGAGAGGAACCCTGTTTGGATAGAGGTGTGAGGCTTCTCACCCCCTCCACCCACCTCAGCATCCTGACGACTAACCCCCACGTCCCCTCTCCCCACCTGGGTTCATCTCAGGCCTCTTCCTTGTGGTGTGTTCTGCCTGGGGAACACAGGTGAGACACCAGGCAGGTGAGCTTCCTCTTGCTCTGCTTCTTATGGCACCTTCCACGTGGAGGGTACAAGGAATATCTTATCTCTTCCAAATTAGATGGCTAGGGTAGGCACTGGAGACGAGGGGGCTAAAGAACTGCACTCCTGGGCTTTCCAGGCTCCAAGATCAGTAGGGAGAAAGTTCAGTGACCCCAAGCGAGTGACCCTGGACCCAGTGGTAGTCCATAGGGCCAACCTCTTGCTCCTCCTTGTCTTCCGTCTCCCTCTGGCCCCAGGAGGCTGAGAGCTGAAGCCAGAGCTCCCAGGCAGTCAGGGTGGGAGGTAGAGTCCCTGTTTCCACCCCTATCCTCTCGTAGGGCAGACTTTGGGAGACGCTGTGATCTGAGAAGAGGTGGGCAAGCAGAGTGTGCCTGGATTGTTTTCTTAGGGCTGCTCTAATAAAATACCAGAAACAGGGTGGCCAAGAAGCAGAAATCAAGTTATTCTGGTGGGCTTGTTTGTTTTGTGTGTTTTTCCCTAACAGCTTTTAGTATTTACTCTCTTTTCTGAATATCTGGAACTTTGATTGTGATTTGTGAGAGGTCCTTTTCTAGCCTTGAGTATTTGGGGGCACTTTTATGTCTCTTATACTTGAATATTGACAAAATGTGAATGTCAATGTCATTTTTTTCTTTCCCTAGATTTGGAAAATTTTCAGCTGTGATTTCAGTGAATACATTTTTATATGTTTTGAGTCATTTTCTAATTTCTCATTTATTCCTGTAATTTGGAGTCATTCCTTTTTTGAGTCATTAGCAGTTGCAGAGTCCAGCTCAAGTGGTGCCTTGCGATATTTTGGGCATCCCTGAGCTTATGATCCACTACACCCACCTTGTCTGCTTGTATTTCTGACATTGTTTTCATGTTGGTCAAATGGTCTATGATTTTCATTGAATTTTTCGTATTATCCATGTCTTCTTGCTTTCTTTTCAGACATTCTAATTCTGTACCAAAATGGTCTCAGTTTATTGCTTATTTCTTTTATAAGCTTATTGAACTTTCTCTTTTCTTTTTTGAGACAAGGTCTTGCTTTGTAGTGCACGCTGGCCTAGAACCTTGAGCTTACTGTGTAGCCCAGGTTGGCTTCAAACTTGTGGTGACCCTCCTGCTTCAGCCTTCCAAGTGCTGGGATTATAGGCATGTACTACCATGTCCATCTTGAACATTTTATTAGTAAAATCCTTTACCTGTTTAATTAAATTTTGTGCTTTAGTTATGTTTTGGTATTTATTCATTCTTCAACCTATCAACATATTTGAAGGATTTTTTTTTTTTTGGACAGGGTTTCACTATGAAGTTCAGGCTGGCCTTGAGCTCACTTTGTATCCCAGGCTGACTTGAACTTGCAACATGAAAACATCTGTGACCATCCAGGAAAGCAAAGCATAGAAGGCAAACAGGAAGGGGATAAAAGCATGTTTCAAAATACCTAAGGGGGGGGGCACTGGGGAGATGGCTCAATGGAATAAGCGCTTCCCTGGCAAGCGCAAGGGCCTGAGTTCAATCCCCGGTTCCACCAAAAAAAAACCTAACCAGAAGAAAGTTTTCTATTTTCCCCATGTCCTACACACTGCTCTCATGGCAGCCTGGGACCTAGGAGGCAAACAGATTTCTAGAAGGAACCCAACTCTTCTGGCTTGAAGGAGGTAAAGGGAACTCCTAATACTCTGAGCAACTTTGTAGCATTTCTTTCCTGTTCATTTTCCTTCGCTTATGACTAGTATCCTCTCCAAACCATGGCATTCAGAACCCAGGAATTCTGTGGTCACAGCAGTGACTGGTGGAGCTGACAAAAACATTCCTTTCTCCTCTGAGGAGCTTATTTCCTAAGAGTGGCACTTACTCCCATTACTTTTGTTACTTCCTAAATTCTTGGTACTTGGCATGAACACAGCTTCAGACACAGAAAGTGCCCAGGACAGCAGGAACTAATGTCTAAATTTTATTTCTAGAAAACTAGAAGAGAAGGTCTGAGAGTGACATGTGAAGATTGTGGAGAGAAGTGAGTTTAGAAAATCACCCTGCAACGCGGGCTCAAACTGAGCTGCTCTTGCACGGGTCTGAAAAGACTGGACAAATCATTACGGTATAGATTGCTAGCCAGATACCAGGTGGCTGCTGCATAGTTTACATTTAAGAGAGCTCCGAATGTCATGTCAAAGGTTTTCTAAACTGATGCAATCTGAAAACCATAACCCACAGAAAGCTAGTTAACTTCAACTGAACATACAGTGTTAAAATGAAAATTACCAACATACATCCATAGTATTGTATCTAAAATCAGAGGTATTCTTGATAAAATACAAGAATACTGCTGGTGTGGTGGTATAGTACTTGGGAGGCTGAGGCAGGATTGCTGTGAGTTTGAGGCCATCCCAGGCTATATAAGTGAGTTCAAGGCCAGCCTGCAGTACACAGTGAGACCCTGTCTGAAAAAACAAGTTCTCTCAAAGCCTTATATGTTCAGGCAGGGATGGGGCTTTTGGAAGATGATTGGATCCAATGGGCACTATATTCACCAATGATTAATCCACCGATGAGTTCATAGCTGAATGTGCTGTTAGGTGAGGCCCGGTTGGTACAGGCATTCCGCTATGGGGGTCTATCTCCTTCCCCAGCTCCATTTCTCCCTGCCTGCATCCTATGAAGGCATGGGATAAGCAGCTTTCCTCCACCTAGGACCCTTCCACTTCTGCTTTGAAATCAGCTAATCAAACCATGGGCCAAAATAAACCTCACCTCCTTTAAGATGTAGGTGTTAGGTATTTTGTCCCAGTAACAAGGAATGTGACTAAGACAAATTTTGGTGCTAGAGATTTGGGCTGTTTTGCTATGATGTTACCTGACCATGTGGTTCATGGGAGCAGTTTGGGATGGTTTGAAGATGCCAGCTTGAGAAGTCCTTAGATGCTGTCAAATGAGCTTGATGGGAGATTTTGTTCAGAGCAAAGAAGATCAGGGTGCTGATAGAAATGCAGGCATTAAAAAGAAATATTCAGGGGCCAGGGAGATAGCTCAGTGGAATAAGCACTTGCCTGGCAAGCGAAAGGACCTGAGTTCAATCCTGGTTCCGAAAAAAAAAAAAAAAAAAAAAAAATTCAGTAAGACTTAAGGAAATAAGCATCATTTGTCCTTGTGTGTAATTTTGCGTGTAACTAAACTTCATTTCCATCTTGTGCAACAAAACTTGTTTATTAAGAAAAACCAAAATTTCATGGGAAAAAAAAAAAAAAAAAAAATGCAGGCATTAAAAGCCATACCCAGAAGGGCCGGCCAAATAGCTCAGCATATTAAAGTGCCTGCAAGCAGGCACAGGGGCTGGTGTTTCAATCCACAGGCCTGCCATGCCAGCCCCACCCCTGGGGCGCGCTGAGATGGCAATTGAGACTGGGTGTGGTGGCACGCCTCTGTAATCCCAGCTCTTGGGAGGCTGTAAACAGGTGGATCACTACAAGTCTAATCTAGTAGTGAGACCCTAAACACCCTGTAGACCCTTTCCTAAAAAAAAAAAAAAAAGCCATACTTAGGAAGTTCCAGTGAGAACAAGGACTCCATCAGCAACTACCTCCCAAGCCTCTGCAAATACATTCTTCCCCACCCCCCCCCGGAGTCAGGGATTGAACTCAGGTCCTTGCATTTGCCAGGCAAGCGCTTATTCTACTGAGCCATCTCCCGGCCCCTACAAATACATTCTTTTTTTTTTTTTCCCAGAACTGGTGATTGAACTCAGGCCCTTGCGCCTGCTACAAATACATTCTTAAAACTCTCAGTGATAACCCTTGAACCCAACTAAGACTTCCCACAGAATCTGACCCTATATCTAATTTTTCACCTATTATTTCTCATATCTACCTCTCTTCCATTACACTCCTCTTTCATCCATCCCTCCTCTCCATTTTCCTTCTATATCACAGAATAACTGCTAATAACAATTTAATATAAGCTGAAAGAATATTGATAAAGGATAAAAGTATAAATGGGAGGTTTATCACAAACGAATGGTATTTGATCAGATCTGTTGATATTATAACCAGAAATAATTATTTCCTCAAACTCAGAAATGAGGTACAAACCACTTAAAGAGGTGAACAGGTAAATACTCTCTGAACAAATAAAACTGAAAATACATATCCAGAAGACACTATCTTACTAAAAAGATCTTAATATCAGTTACAGTCTCCTTACCCTACTTGACCTCAACTCTTAGCCCCCAAAAGATAAACACACACATACACACACAAACAAACAAACAAACAAACAACCCCAAAGCAACAAAAGACCTAAAGGTGTCTCACCTCTCCCGGGTGGATCCAGGGGGCAACAATGGAAAGCAAAGAAAACACCACGTAGCAGAGATTTACAAATTGACTCAGGTTTATGAAATTATCATAGAAAATGACCAATGTGGATTTGGGGAAAAGAAATTAAAAAAAAAAGAAAACTGAAACAGCTGACCAAATGTTTCAAACCTTGAATAAAACAATCTACCAAAAATATAGACTCCATGAAAGGCATCATATATAAAGATTGTACAGAATTTGTAAATTGCAGAAATGACCAATGTAAAGACATGGTTTCTGAGATCAAGGACAAAAATCGTAAATTATAATAAATCACTCAGAGAAGCTTCAAAAATGATAGCAAGA